TAATTTGTTTGCAGTATCACATATTTTCTTTTTAAAAAATGACAATGTTCCTTTAAAAGCAGTTGATTTATAGTGTGTCAGGGATGTAGAGCAGCAAAGGCATGTGAAGGAAGAAGCTGGTAAATTTCACCCGCAACTTCTAATAAATAAGTTAATAAAACAATGGAAAAGGCTGAAAATCATCAGCCCTTTGGAACAGAATGTAGCTCAGATAAAACATTCTGTTCTATGATTTAGATTGTGGATCTAAATCAACGGATCTCAGGCAGCTGGAGATATATATCACTAGAATGTTTGTATGGTTGTGTAAACGTTATTGTAAAACAGTTTGAAATTACTATTTTAGGGATCTCTAGTTATGGTTCACATGGGTATGGTGTTTTGTTTTCACCCCCTTCCCATTGATTTATTAGAGGGACGTCGATTCATCTCAGATGAGAGCCAGAGGAAGGACCTCTATGACAGATTGCAGCTAGGTAAGCTCATCTGGAAATGTGTTTTTTTAAAAGGGAAACACTATTATATTATTCCATCTCCATAACCCTCACTCACTTCCCAAAAATGATGTGCATCATAACTGATCAGGTGGATGTGAACAGCAGGTGCATAAGAAATGCAGAAAGCGTCAGTTTAACAGTAAACAAAACATTCTCTCCTGGGAGGAAGAGATAATTCAATGGAAAAAATTAAACTGAGAGAAGCTACTTTTTAATGTTTTGTTTTGTTAGAATCAAATTCAAAGGAGCAGTGAATATTAAGAGTTGAATAGTTCAATTATTTCAAAAATCTCATTGGAAAGACTAAAAGCCTGAGTCTCCTCTCACTAATGCCAGTTTAAATGCATCATCTTATATGAAATTATTCCTGATTTACTTTGTATAAGCAAGAGAACAAGCAGTCCCCTTAACTTTCTATCTCTGTTGGCAAAAAATAAAATAAAATAAAGGTATTTTCTTGATTACTGTAACGTGTCAAACTATGACAGTAGAGAAAACATTCATTTAGACTATATTTATGGTGCAAACTGAACCTTACAATTAGATAATGAATGTATGCAAAAAGAGAATGTACCTTTCACTCTGTAAGGGGGCTTTAGGAAGAATTACATTTGTTTCCTTCTCTTTAAGTAGATTATGAGGTTGTTTTCTCTTAGTGATTTAATGGGCTATTTTCGAGCAGAGAATTGTATAGAAAGTGACTGAAATAGCCTACAGAAATATATAAAAGTGTCCCTTTTGTTCTCAAGTTGTAAAGATTAAAAAAAAAGCAAGGGCAGAATGTGAAATGCAGCAACTTTGCAGACATACATTGGCTAATTGTGCTTCATTGGTATAGGTTTAGCTCTGAGAAAGTGTGTTGGCTTTGTCTCTCCAGAAACACGCAGCCAAAATACAAATCCTATAGCTCTGTCGGAGGCTGCAGAACTATTTCTTAACTCCTTACGGAAAGCACAAGAAGGTAAATGCATCATTTATTGTACTCTCTGAGCTTCTAAGAGGTTTATGAATACTCTATTTATTAATGCTTTAAAACAAATCTGAGAAGATCTCATTTGGTTGATTGCAAGCACAAACTATGCCCTCGAGTACATTGTATTAGAAGTTACAGTAAGAGAGATTGGGACATATAGCTGAGAACTGATGGAAGGATAAATGTTGGCTTATCCTGCTTTGCTGTTTGCTTTTCTCATTTCCGTTGGTTAATTTAGCCACCATAATTCTGGACTCACTTCTTGTTATCTTGACACTTGTTTGTTTGGGCTCTAGGGACCGTTTATAGTGACTTGACTTTGCAATAGCAAACTCCTCTTTTGGGCTCCTGTTTCTGCAGAATACAGTTCATGGGTGAGATCTGTACCCCTGGCTCTGGCTCCTTTACAGCGGGTAAAAGGGTTGGACTGATGTAAAAAAGCCCTAAAAGCCACACCACAGGCACTGTGGATGACAGCTCTAAGGCTGCCTCCCAAGGACCCACCCTAGCCCTGGCGCAGGGGGTATTTTGAGGGCAAGGCTGGGGCAGGAGGTGGGGCTGCAGCACGCAGAGCTGTGATGATACCAAGCAGCACTGTGGTCCATAGGAAGCCCCGGGAGGCTGTGGTAACTTAGACAGGCACCCAGAGCTGTGTAAATTATGCTGGGGGTTTTGCCAGTCCCAGGAACAGCCTGGGATTGGGAAGGCAACAAGGTGGCTTAAAGTCCCCATAGCCTCTCATGGGCAGTGAATTCTATGCTCTGCCTCTGAGGCCTTGTCTTCACTATGAAAAAAAGGTGTGTTCTTAACTCGAGTTAGCTAACCCGAGGGAAAACCTTAGTGAGACAAGGCAGTCTGTAGTTTTTATACGTGTTAGCAAGTCGAGGTAAACTCTATACTCTCCCATAGCCTCTAGCTCAACCTGCTAACTCATTTGAACACTACAAACTGTCTTGTCTTCGCTAGAATTTTGCCTCGGGTTAGCTAACATGAGTTAAGAACACACCTTCTTTACATAGTACAAACAAGCCCAGCACAGAATCTCACACTATATGTATTCACTTATACTGGGCCCAGTCCTGTCCTTTTCTGGCAAAACTCCCCAATATGCTGTGCTTAATATTAAGAAAAGTGTTCAGTTCTTCCATTCTGCCTCAGGCAAAACTCCCATCAACTTAAAAATTCAACGAGGGTTTTGCCTAAGCAAAAAATGGCAGAACCGAGTGAAAGGTCTTAATATTAAACATAGTACCTTGTACACAGTGTGCAGGCTGAAGGTGGACCTGCTTAACCTAGTGAATTTGGCCTTGTGTGTTAATAATGACAGAGGGAAACCACATAAAGTTCAAGCCCTGTAAAAGAAAGTTAGCTATATTTTTCTAGTTCGTTATTGCTCACAAGGAAAAAGCAACCAGTGTCAGCCTCGTAACCAGAAAATAAGAGATACGACAGACCTGATTAAGCATGTGTGGCTGGAAATGTTAATTGTCACAACTCACCAGTTCCTTATCTTTATTAAGGGCTTGCTCCTCCAAGGTGCTGAGCGCTTTGCTTGTAATCCAGCAAAGTGCTTAAGAATGTCCTTAATTAAACCGCCAAAAGCCTAAACAGGTCAACAGGACTTCCTTAAAGATAAGCCTGTTGACTCTTAAAGAGAGTCTCTGGATAAAGTTGAGAAGTGTGAGCAACAAGGGTGATGTCGTGGTTGGAGTCTGCTATAGACCACCAGACCAGGGGGATGAGGTGGATGAGG